GCTGGAGGTAAATACATTTACTTTATATTTATGATGTGTAAGCTTAATTGATAGTTAGGGCCTCATAATAGCTTTGCTTTGTAATTTTTTGTAGTAAACCCAACACCCCCCCCCCCCCCCTCCCTTTTTTTTTTAAATGTGGTAATTTTTGATGATTGATCAAATATCATGCAAATCAAGTGTCTATTTGAAATTATTATCCCATAGTGACTCTTATACTGATGTAAGGTGAACTACGTAATTTTTCATGACTTTTAGTTTGGTTTCTTATTTTTTTTTTTTTATTGTGTTGTTTGCAGAGAGGAGAATCAGTTTGCAGACTCCCTACCCTGCTCCGATGGCATAGAAGAGAAAGGTGTTGTACAGCTAACCGAGGCTAGTTTGAACGTGGCTCTCTACCCTTTGTTTTGTTTTATGCCTGCCGGTAGCTCCTGTCTATTTATTTAGGTTGGACTGAGAGCTGAATGAAAAATAAAAGTTGGTTGTACTTGTAAACCTGTAAATTGTAGCGTTTTTTGTTTCCTGAGGATATATACCTAGAAAAACAGGTTAGGTTGAGGCTCAAATGGTACAAGATACCTGATGCCCCTCCCCCCTTGCTGAGAGAGTAAAATTTACTGTACAAGTTTCGAGGGTGTATAGAGAAAGCTAGTGGTCGTGGAGGTAGTAAATTTGTGACTTGTGATTGTACAGAATGTTGCTAGCTGCAGAAAGAGAGCCTTTGTGTTAGAGTTGAGGCTATAAGTTTTCCTTTTCGTGTATCAGATGGATATTTTCTTCTTTGAAAGAACAATTTTCTCATATGATTTGAGCTTTCCTGTTTTCTTTTGTTTTGTCATTCAATTTGTTCATTTAAGTGGACTATTTTGTTACATTGCCCCTCTACAAACTTCATGCTTTGGGTCGCTCACTCAGTCTCTTCATCTTTTAAAGCTGGTACTTGGTACATTTATATTTTGTCAAAGTCAAATAAAATCATTTCAGATTTTCAGTATTGGAATTAGAGTCCAGTTAATTATGACATAATTGGGCAGATAGCCAAATAAGTGGTGATAGTTAGGCCTTGTTTAGTTCAACTTATTTTTACTTATTTCAGAAAAAATAAGTTCAGATCAGATCAGAAAAAATAAGTTCAGATTAGAATATCGTTTAATGTGCGGTTTTTTATTGCTAAATATTCTTAATTTCGTAATGAAAAAAATTGTGAAAATTACATATTAATAAACTACACATTATTACGAATCTAACAAGATTCAACTTTATTTTTTTCTTATAGATTATCGTACACTTAAAGTCAAAGTCTGGTCAAATCAGACAATCAGATTAGATCAGACCAGATTAGATCAGATAACACCAGATCAGTAAAAATAAGGTGAATCAAACAAGGCCTTAGTAGTCTCCATAAATAAGTCTTGACTATTGTTGGCTCATTAAGGAGTTTTATGAGCATGTCAAACACTATTAATGAATACTACTACAGCACAACTTTTTTGGACGGGTGAAATCATGCATGTTCTATAGTGGAATGACGTAAAAGCCATGTCTTTGCAATGAACTTGCATAGAATCTTGTGCTTAACGGGACTTCCTAATGAAATTACAGTAAGAAAGGCATACTATACTGTCTATACTTCATGTGGAGCTTCACTTCCTTGCACAAAAAATGTTGTGTTTTACACAAAATTCCAGATGTGTTCAATGGCTACAACGAAATTGTACTTCAAATTGTTGGTAGTGGTGGTCAACCTAATCTATTGATTTATAATAATCCGTTATTGAAATCATTCGTTTTTGGATACAAGTTTTGATGTTCGGCATATTCCATATTAATTTCTTATATAATCATGATATTGAAACGAAGATTACTATATGCATTAGGTTTGCTCCCACAAGGAGTTCCAACAATAATGAAACAACTCAATAAATTGAAACAATTAAAAGATAAGTGAAATGTCATGTATTTACCGAACTTAGATTTAAAACACACATCCCTAGAGTATATATAGTGCAGCTAGGTTTTTTTTTTTTTTTTTTTTTTAGGTTGACAAAGGTATCAGTCACAATCACTTTCATACACTTCGACAGTACAATTTTAATTTGTTTATCACAATTGTAAGTGTGAGTGAAAGTTAAATTATACTTCGTATTTCTTAGTAGAAACATTTTTCCAAATTCCCATTTTACTTCCCCACTAAATGATAATTGAAACATTTTTCCAAATTTCCATTTCCATTTCCATTATATCTAAGCAATAAGTCTAGTCTAGTATAAGTGTATAACTACCAATGATAAATGTCAAACTAAAAACTCGTTCCCCATCATCAAGTTGATTGCGCAAATCATGCTCCACTGAATAAAGTACCACCACACCATGATTGATCAAGTATTACCAAAAAAGGAAATAATTGAGAAAAATATCAACCAACATAAAAACAAACAAAATGAAAATGGTGAAAAATAATAATTGTACGAGTATAAATTTTTATTTATTTTTAATCTGACAAACAAAAATTTAAGGTAGCATTCTTCCACGTGAGGTCCCTATCCATAGATTACGACCTCTTCTCTCCATTTTCTCACTCCTCTAAATTTTCCCCCAAAATTTAATTGCCAACAAAATCAAACAATTCGTAAGTAAAGCAACTTTCTCTTCTTGTTCTTTTCATCTCACGCTATACTCTCTTCTTCTTCTTTCTTAAACATTCTATCAAATTTATTTCTGGGTTTTGAATTTGATGAATGTTTAAGAAATCTTGTTATTTTGAATTGAAAGTTTGAATCTTTCTTCTTTCTTTCACCCCTTTTGATTTTAATTTTTGAAACACAGAAAAGGGGGTGGAATTTGAGGAGGAGAGAGAAAATGGAAGATCAGTGGGAAATGGGTTTGCCATCATTTGAAGATCTAACACCATTATCACAATCTTTGATCTCCCCAGAACTTGCTTTGGCATTTGGGATAACCCCAGATAATACTCGAGCTCAATTTGATCTAAATCGGGCGATGCACGACAACTGTTCGACATTTTGCCCAAGTGAAGAAAATATTGAATCTTTGAGTTTGAGGTTGTTTTCTGGGAGAAGTGATTATGATTGTTCCAATAGGATGAAAAGGGGTGATTGTTTTATGACTGATGAGGTGAATTCTGGGTACAAAGATGATAATGGTGATGAAAACGGGCTTAATCGGGCCGTCAAACGGCCCAGGTTGGTCTGGACCCCTCAGCTTCATAAGAGGTTTGTTGATGTAATTGAGCATCTGGGAATTGATAAGGCTGTTCCTAAGACTATTATGGAGATGATGAATGTAGAAGGGTTAACTAGAGAAAATGTTGCTAGTCACTTGCAGAAGTACAGGCTGTATTTGAAGAGAATGGAAGGGCTCTCAAGTGAGGGTCATTCAACCCCTAGACGGGACTCGGCGATGTTCGATTGCGACGGGTTCGGGTCCATGTCAATGCCACCACAGTCACAGTCTTCACAGCAGCAGCCACAACAATGCAATTCACTGCCTTTGATGCCAATGCCAATGCCAATGCCGATGGTGGGGCCGCCTCCGGGGTCATATGGGTTCGGACATTTGGGGTTGCCTGTGGCTAGTTCTGCTACTCCCGGGTACTGTGGGCTGGAATCTGGTGCTTACAACATGTTCTGGAATAGGCAGCGAGGTTGATTGTTTTGTTCAATTTTTGATAAAAAATATAGTGTGATTGATGAAGGGTTGATGAACTAATTTGTAGTATTTGGTTTGAATCCTTTCTCACAATTACTAGCTGTCCAATAAGTTTCTTGGAGTCAAAATTACCACATAATGTATCACTCTCTCTTTTTATTTTAATAAAATTATTTCACACGGTTAGTTATGTGAGTTCATTTCAGTATGTTTTTTTTTTTTTTTTTTTTTTTTTTTTTTTTTTTTTTTTTTTTTTTTTTTTTTTTTTAAATTCTGTGGCTAATCTGTTTTATTGCTGGCTTATCAACACTATTTTTTAAGAAACTAGGGTGCTTCAGTTGAGCCATCAAAATTGTGCTTGTACATGTACTTCGTAGATCATAATCTACCGAACAATTGCTTGAACTCTTCACATGGAGATCATGTTGTGCATAATTGTGATATTGATAGTTCATAAGAAGCATTCAATCAAGTTCATTTCTGTTACTTGTTACTTACAGCTCAATTATTGGTGGAGTTTAGAAAGTATGTGCTCGATTAGTTGTTTTTGTCTTTTTTAATTTTAATTTTCTGTACAGCTGAATCATCCTGAAGACCTGAAACACTAAACTATAGTTCAGTAAACATGTAGATCATGATGTGTTGTACCATCACTTGCATTCTTATGTGAATGAATCCATATATATTATGATAGCTGATTGCACGGTGTAGCAAATAAGTTTGGCCAGTTTTGTGCAGTGTCACTAATCTATCATTTACAATTTTTGCAAAGTTCATATGTCTGCTAGAAATAGTGTTGATGTCTGACATTTGTGGACTACATCTTTTTTTCAGCCGTGTTTTACTCTAACCGTCTACATTTTAATATTGTGCTGATAGAGCTTACTGATAGTTGTTGGTTTCTCACCAGAATTGTTTTAAAGGCAATAGTAACGACTATTGATCAAGTTTTGTCTAATAATTTCCTTTCTTTATCTCTTGAATACTACTATAGTGGATGGAGATGCTGTATGGGTGTGGTAAAATATATGAGGAGACTACGTGAAGTGCTTACTTTAGGGAGACGGATCTTATACCATTTGGTGATACTAACAATCTTGTAAATCAGATGGTTTCAAAACAAAAGTTTTTGACAGATTTGCTTCTGCTAAAAGTGGAAGTCTTACCTCTCAGGTCAGTATTTTTCTCTACTCAGACTGTTTACACTATGTGCTGCCAGGGATTAATACCACCCTCAGTAGAATGGTTATTTTTGTACTTCCTCCATCTCTATTTAAATGCAATGTTTCTAAATCCACACTTGCCAACTTCAATCGTTTATATTCTTTTCATTGTATAAATCGTACTAGTATTGTTAGAAACTTAGAACTAAATGCAGAACAGATAGTGAAAGACTAATAGTGAGACTAATAGTGAACAAGTAACACAAATCTTATTACAATGAAATAGTAAATTCGTCAAATAACCACTATGGCACTATGTTCCAGTCTTCAATTTGAAATGGGCATAGATATACAGACCAACATAAAAAAAATCCCACAACATATAGACGAAATAGTAGAATGTTTTAAGCCCTCTGCTTCATAAATTCAAGTAGGAGGACAAAAGGTAATCACATACCTAGGAGCCTTGCAAGTCTTAAGCCCAGTTTTCTCATCAAAGGGATGACTATAAGCCCTGGGGCAAACCGTCTTAAACAGCCTCCCAAACACCGTTGGCTGACACTTCTCCGCCCCAGAAAAATCTCCTGTACAGCAAAACCTTGGAAAACCAGTCGCTAAACAAGGACTCTTACACCCCACAACCTTCTCTTGCGTCTTAACCACCAATGCAGCAGGACAATACATGTTCAAGTCCACCTCACACGCAGCGACCCCACAACCTCCCATCATCTCCCTTCTGACAAGGGGAACCATAGAGACAGGGAGATTGAACCCATCAACGGTGCTAACATCATAAAAATGAAGCGGGGAAGCAGGGCTACCGAAGGTCATTTCTACCACGGTAGCAGGGGGTTTACCACCAATGCCCTTGCATTGTAGTAATCCATTGCAGTCACCAGTTTGGCAAGCGCCAATGCCTGTGTGTCTATCAAAATCACAACCTTGCCTTGCCCATACTCTGCCTGACCAGTTATGAGAGACTCGGAGGAACTGTCGTCGGCCTGAATGCAAGCAAAACCCGCCTCCTAGAGGTGTATTCTTCCCGCCGGTTGCTAGTATTCCCGGCCATATGGTGGCGTTGCAGTTATTCATTATTTTTAGTTGAACGGCATCTGCCAAAAATCAAGCACTACATTGTTAGTAACGGATGATTAAAATTTACTATCAGCAAAATAAAATGGAAGAAAACAACCAGTAAAAGAAAAATAAAGAGACAGAATCAAGAAATGAATCGGAAATGCCATTTTTATTTTCTTTCTCTTAATGATGTTTGGAATGTAAAATTTGGTGAAACAGAAGAAACTATATACAAAGGAGGGTAAAACGGTTAGTGGAAGAGGGGGCAACGGTTTATTTCATTAACTTCCCCATTACTTGATTATTTCTTCCGATCCAGTCTCCCTCTCTCTCTCTCTTGTTTTTTTTTTTTTTTTTTTTTTTTTTTCATGTTTATATCTCAAAATTAAGCATATTTAAAAGTTCTTGATCAACATAAATAAATTATCAAATTTTGCAAATTTGCAATAAGTAGGAAATTAGACATTTCTTGTGATCCATTGAGGACTATGCACTTATGCTGTTATTATGCTGTAGCATGTACTTTGTACTTTTTTAGTTGGTCAAAATCTAAACATAGTTACAAATCTTACAATCAAGCAAGGCAAATTCTGGTGTAAGATGGTCTCATTTCATAAGCCGAAAAATGTCATTTCATTTCATAAGAAAAGCCAGTCATGTTAGCTATAAAGGACGCCCCTATAACCTTAAAAAAGTTACCATTTTTTACACCTATCTTGCACAAGAATTATCCTATAAGAAAACACCATAAAACCAGTCCAAATATTATTGCTTAGGCTATTGCATTAACAGTTTAACACTACTATATGTCAAAAAAAAAAAAAAAAAAAACTTTAACACTATGAACCTCTAAATTATATACTTAGTCCATGGAGGATGAACAAATTCCCTTTATAAGTAACTGTCCTTGGCTCAGCCCCTACACACCACAAATGTCCCTGCAACTCTAGCCTTTTGTTCATCCCAGCAGTTTCCCATACAAACTTAAACAATCCAAGAGCTCGATCTAATTGCTTTATCCCGCTCCAAATCATTTTCTCTTCCGATGATGTCAACAATTTCCCCATGCACAAGCATAACTTATCCTTCTCACCAATCTCATACAACCCGCCAGATACTTCTACCTCCATGTCTCGAACACTCTCATGAAGATAATATCTTACAAGTGTAAACAAACATTGCGACGAGTGACCCAATGTCTTCAAAAGTTTCTTTCGAACTAAGCTTTCATGATGTTGCACTTCCTTGAACCCAATGTCTCTATCAACTAACACATCTTTTATCTGAATTAGCCCTTCTTTCATCACCTTGAGCTTTGACACATGGAATGATAGTCCTTCTTCTCTTCTTAAATTATCAATGAGGTCATTGAACATTTCAAGGACCTCTTCCCACTTTCGTGATGATGGAGATACAGCTGATTTATATGGCTTCGGCCTCATCCATGAAGAAGCATCCTCATCTTGGCGACAAGCTGTTTCAGCTAAGAAATTTAAACAAGTAGTAACAATTTGCTGACCCATAAATGTTGCTTTGCTAGGTGTCTGAGAATCCAAAAACTTCATCTCTCTTTTCAGTCCCTCCAATATTTCTTCAAGTGCACCTGTAAAAATCCTATGCTGTGCAACCTGTGGACAGATTGTAAAACGGACTGTCTTCCTTTGTTGTGCAGAGACGTCCAGATAGTTGCAAACTTTGGTGAGGTTATTCACAAGCAAAGGTTCCCTCTCAATTGGGTTGGTAAAACAAACACGTGGACTGCATTTCCTACCTGCCATTGCAACCCTCACATTCTTCATCAGTTCTTCTTGTACTGTTGGATGCCCAAGAAAAGCTCTGGCAAGCGCCTTAAATCGGAGCATCCTATTAAAAAGGCGTTCATCTCTGACAGTCGAATTGTCATTGACATCCACTAACCTTCCATCAACCAAATCCACATTCTTCAGCAAATTGGACAATTTAATCAATCTTGGAAACACCTCGTCGTACCATCCAAGAGGTAAGCTTTCTTCACTCACTGGTACTGAACAATATTGAAGTGCTGCATTCAAATACAGTGGTACACTTTGCCTGGTTCTGATGACATACTTTGGACTACATACATGCAGAAAGTCCTGTACAAATTTACAAGCTACAAAATTGTGCCTCATTTCCTTTTAACCAGAATTCATACAACCTCATTTCTCTTCATTGATCTTACCTACAAGAGATCAAAAACCGCAACTCAATACCAATAATCCACCATCTATCTAGTAAAGGCGCTTAATCGGCGTATTATGTCTCAAAGAGAAAGATGCATTGGTCCAAAAGTTAACAAATTAAAGTCATCTTTATACAAAAACACGAGGAACCAACTTTATAAGAACACACATTGTATAAATTAACAAACATTAGCAGATTCAGGATTTCTAACTAGGGGCAACACTGAACACGACGACATTACTTACAGGACAAATAGTTGAATAATTCATAAACTATAAGCTTCAAAATTTCATAAAAAAATCACATTACAACCTAAAATGTACACAAACTTGAAATACTTGCACAAACTAACCAATTCCAGTTCATATTGATAAATAAATACAATAACTTTTTAACTCAAACCAACATAATCCAAATAATCAATCAATTAATCAAACTTATTCAAGGTAAAGGTCACATTTTTCATAAATATACGCAATTACAAATTTGAATAATTAAAGAGAAAAATTAATTACTGATCTCAGTGAACTACTACTACCTTGTTGCTGCGCCGCCGGGAAGTGCTCGCCGGAATCCAATCTTCTCCGCCGGTAATCGGAGAAAGAGAACAAGAAGAGAGAGAAAGTAGCAATTTATAGTAAAAAAAATTAGCGGTTTATCTAACCCAAACAAACCGCTGATTTAATCGATTCGTCGCTTGAAAAGCAAACCGGCATTTTGAGATCTTTGACCCGAACCAAAACCTAATTAAAAACTTCGGGTTATCATTTTTTTTTAATTGGCCCAAAACCGGTTTACTCGGTAAACCTTGTGTTAATCAATGCAAAAGAACCGGATCAGCCGGTATCAAACCCTCTCTATACCATCTCTAAATCGCTGCGTTCTGTATTATTGGTTAACCGGTTCATCCGGTTCTTATCTTCTTCGGTTTATAAACCAAACCCTTGATCCCCCCCCCCCTTTTTTTTTCTCATCTTCCGGTTCTCTCTTTCTCTCTCCTTGCAGATTCGCTTTAAAACTATCATGTAAGTTTATTTTAATTGTTTATAATTGTATTTTTAATTTTTAATTATTTTTACTTATGTTAATTTTGGTAATTCTATAATGGTTCTTTGTACTTAGTGTTGGATTTTATTTTATTTTTTTAATTGATTATAGCTTCTTATATTCTTTAATCACCAGCTTAATTTTGTTTGCCTTACTGTATTTTACTTTCTTTTTTTTTTTTCCCTTCCCTGTGTATGTTTTATAGCTTGTTCTATGGGTAGCTTGTGTAGATTTCTGTTTTAGGTGTCGTATGATTTTCGATTAATGAATTAATATCGGATTTTGGTAAAATGAGTCAGCTTATGTTGCAATTTCATGGACACTGATTACTTTTTGTTTCCCATCCTATTGTATATTCATTTTCTGCCTGTATTGAATTTCATCATTTCATGAATCTTAATACTTAGTGCTCCTTATTAATTAATCCATCACTTATATGATTTGTCTATAACCTTTTGTTCTTCCAATTGGAATTTAATTCTATTATGTATTAATGTATATATGCATTTTGATGTATACCCAGTTGATGCAATTTATTGGCTAAGGCTATAATTTGCAAGAAATGAGTTCTGGGTTTGAGCCAGTGCCAATCAGTTCACAAAAACATGACCCAGCTTGGAAGCATTGTCAAATGTATAAGGATGGGGATAGGGTTCATTTGAAATGTATATACTGTGCTAAAGTATTTAAGGGTGGTGGAATTCATCGGATTAAAGAACACTTAGCTTGTCATAAGGGTAATGCATCCACTTGCCATCGGGTTCCATCCGATGTTAGGGAAGCGATGCATCAAAGCCTAGCAGGTGCGGTGGTGAAGAAAAACAAGCAGAAAAAGATTTCTGATGTTTGTACTAAGGCTAGTATTGATATGCCTTCTAATAATGATGATGTTGATGGTTTTGCTAATGACTGCGGTGCTAGTAGTGAGATTCATTTTATTGCGAATCCTATTGCTCTTGAGTCTAGCTCGTCGATGTTGGCTCCTACAGAGGAAGGGATGAGTGTTAGGGGGCCTGGGAAGAGAAAACGGGGGAGGCCACCAAAGAGTGCTTTGATTTCCGTGGTTAGTAATGGTACTCCGGTTCCTGTTAGTGATAACCATGTTGTGAATGAGATGCAGGGATCATTGAAGAAGCTTAACTCTCAAGTTCACTTGGCTATAGGGCGTTTCTTATATGATATAGGGGTTCCTCTGGATGCTGTAAATTCAGTCTATTTTCAGCCTATGCTTGATGCTATTGCTTCGGAGGGCACAGGAGTTGTGGGACCCTCACATCAAGAACTTCGAGGTTGGATTCTGAAGAGTGCAGTTAATGATGTGAAGGCAGATATGGACTATTGTGCGAGAGCATGGGGGCGCACTGGTTGCTCTGTTTTGGTGGAGGAATGCATTATAGGGAAGGAAAAGGAAATGACAGTTGTCAATTTTCTGGTGTATTGTCCAGAAGGCACAATGTTCTTAAAATCAGCAGATGTGACAAACCTAATGGATTCAGCTGAAGCAATGTATGATTTGATCAGAGAAGTGGTAGAAGAAGTTGAACCAAAAAATGTAATGCAAGTGATTACACCCAATGATGAATGCTATGCTGCTATCGGGAAAAGGCTTTCTGAAACTTATCCTACCATATATTGGGCTCCCTGTGCAGTTAATTCGATAATATTAATGCTCGAGGACTTTGGGAAATTTGAATGGATAAATACTGTACTAGAGCAATGTAAGTCAATAATGAGGTTTATCTATAATCACAGTGTTGTCTTGAATATGATGAGGAGGTATACTTTCGGCGTGGATTTAGTGGTGCCTGATATTAGTCCTTCTATCACCAATTTCAGAACACTGAAGCAAATGGTCGACCTGAAACACAATTTGCAAGCTTTAGTTACATCACAGGAATGGGTAGATTCATTTTATTCTAAAAAGGAAGGTGCATTGGCTATATTGGATCTCATAAGTGACCACTCTTTCTGGTCATCCTGCAACCTTGTTGTCCTCCTAACTGATCCAATTTTGCAAGTATTGAGCATTGTTAGAAGTGAAAAGAAACCTGCTATGGGATATGTGTATGCAGGACTATACCGAGCCAAAGAAGCCTTGAAAAGAGAGTTTAGAAAGAGGGATGAGTATTTGACTTATTGGAATGTCATCGATCTGAGGTGGGATCGGCATCAGCAATTACCACTTTATGCTGCAGGCTTCTATCTCAATCCAAAGTTCTTTTACAGCATTGACGGAGATTTGCCTGGTACAATTGTCTCTGGAATGTTTGATTGCATCGAGAGATTAGTTCCTGACACCAAAACCCAAGATAAAATCATCAAAGAGCTCAACTCTTACAAAATGGCTGCTGGGGATTTTGGACGGAAGATGGCAATCAGAGCTAGAGAGAGCCTGCTACCCTGTAAGTATATAGATTTGGATGTTGAAATTATTTGTTTTATACATTTTTATTGGATTCATTTATTCTGTTGCATTTTTTTAAACCCCTGATATTGTTAGGAAAGAAAGTTATTGATGAAAATGGTTGAGGCAGCTCTACCTTGCTTTATTTATGATTGTTTGTCTGCCAGGCAAAAATCCTTAAACTCGTATTAGGTGTCAAATTATTCTTCAAATGATACCCTGGTACATTGAAATCCCTGTTCGTAGTATTCATTTTGCTATGTACTTGGAATATATGATGCAAAAAATTTAAATTATAATATGAGGAAAAGATTGGTAACTTGGAAAATTTACCGCTCCTTTCCTCTATGCCTGCTATGCCTGTCAGTTGAGGTTGAAGTTGTTCAGGCCTTCAGGTTGCTGACATTTCATTCTTTACCGGGAACTGTATTAAATTGAGGTTATCTATCGATGTGTGTTTGAAGCGCTTGAATTAGCTTCCTGTTTTATTGAAAATTAGCCCTTCATTAACATTTTTATCTGTAATATTTACAGCTGAATGGTGGTCCACATATGGAGTTGCCTGCCCGAACTTATCACGTCTAGCTGTCCGTATTCTAAGTCAATGCTGCAGTTTAACACATTGTAAGAAAGATCTCATTCCACTTGAGCAAATGCACAGCACTGTTAATCGTCTAGAACATCAACGACTCAACGATCAGGTCTTCACTCAGTATAACTTACGGCTGAGACAAATGTAAGTATACTGGTCTGATGATAAATTTTGAGGGTAATATAAGTATAGAACTTCAATTTAACTAGTTTGTTTCACAGGGCTCAAAAGAGCAAAGAACAAGACAATATGGACCCGCTATCAGTGGACAATCATGCTAGCGTTGCTGACTGGATAGCCCGAAAAGATTTATGCTTTGATGACCATAGAATTTCAGACTGGATGTCAATTGAGCCGACCTCACCTAGCAAAATGCGTTTGAAATCTTCAGCTGACGAAGTTGAAGAATTGAGCGGTGGTAATGTGTTTGTCTTAGAGTTGATCAAACTGGCCTGGCCTGATTCTGGGCAGATATTTCTGTCACACAAAATGCAATTTAGGCTATTTTGGCATTAGTCCTGATCTGTCCTGATATAAGCTGGACTCTTTTGGCAGCTGCTCAGTACATGATGAGCTCTAATTTATCTGCTTTCTGACTTATTTTTCCTTTTGATTTGCAGGTTTTGACGATTATGAGATTTTTGGTGGAGCTAAAGATGAGGAAGATGCTCTTGCAGATAATATAGAAGGCCAGTAAGCGGCAAGTCAGATTCATACTTGTAATAAGCTTCAGTTGGAGAATCATTTCTCCTGATTTCAGAATCTGACTTCTGATCGTGAGTTATGTTTGTATCTTTTTTTCTATGTGATCGAAAAATGTGTACACGAGAAGATTTTCAGCAAGAACTAGCATCGATTTAGAGAATGAAGCAGTAGTGTATGCCATCAAATTGGTTGAGCATAGAGGTTGATCAGAAGGGATGATTTTGGCAGTCAGAGAATAGTCCCCTCTGTTGGAAAAACATTGAATTGTCGCCTTCTCACAAACGGAAGCACTTTTATAAATCATTGTGTTGATTAAGCATGTTTCCGGCTCACAAGGGCTGCTTGTAACTTTTATTTAGGCTTTGAGATGAGTTAAGGCAGAATGCTAGAGTGTACAGACGAGACACAAGTTCTGGGAATGTGAATATTTAGATCAGTAACAGAATATACTGTATCTTTTGTTGCTACTACTGAATAGAATGCAGAATTGGCAAATTTAATGATGATAATCTTCCATCTGAGTATATTGGAACAAAATCTTACTTCTATGTTCTATCAGTCTAGCTTGAACTAAAAAAAAAAAAATTTAAAAAAAGGATAGAAGGAACATGAATGGTGTCTATTCCCCAAAGCTTTCATAGGTTTTCAGAGATTCGATTACATGTTCAAGTGCTGAGAGATATACAAAATTATATATGTATATATACAACAGGAAGATTTGAAATATTAATACCTAATTATGCAGCCAAAAATCAGTAACTCTACACTTCAATCACAAGCGCAAAAATCCTAAACAAAAACTCAATTATGAATCCAAAACACTTAATGATAAATCATGTTAGACAACTCACATTTCCCAGGCTATCTACCTTCATGAGCTTCATCTCCACCAGACAAAGATTACAAAGAAACTGAACCACCTTCAAGATCCATATATGAAGCAGGAGGATATGTATGTACATAATCCTCAAATTCTCCAGTACCATTTCTTCGGCTGCTATGGCTGCGCCTCTTCCCACTATATCCACCAGGTAGAATTATTTCTTCTGGCAATGCAGCCTCCCCATCCAAATACCTCACCAACTGCCTCATTGAAGGTCGAGAATCAGGTGACTCAGCAGAGCACATTAAGCCCAACTTCAAAACTATTGCTGCCTCCACCTCATTATAATCGCCTACCAACTTAGGGTCCATTACATCAAGAATAGCACCCTCTCTCCATCTATCCCACACCCAATCAACCAAGAACAATTCCTCGGGTAATGCCTTGGGCTCAATAGGCCTCCTCCCACAAGCAATCTCCAACAGCAAAGCACCAAAAGCAAACACATCAGAGCTTGTTGTTGGCCTCCCAGTTCGTGTAAGCTCAGGTGCCAAATACCCAAGAGTTCCCACAACCCGGGTAGTGCTCGGATCAGTCCCATGCTCATATAGCTTAGCTAACCCGAAATCACCTAACCTACCATTAAAGTCAGCATCAAGTAACACATTCCCTGCCTTGATATCTCTATGTATCACAGTTTGCTCCCACCCTTCATGTAAATAGCACAATCCAGAGGCAACCCCTTTAATGATGTTAAATCTCTGAACCCAGCTTAATACCATTATATGGTCAGCAAACAAGTACTTATCCAAACTACCATTTGGCATATAATCATATACCAGAATCAAGTCCCCTTTACGCCGGCACCATCCAAGCAACTGCACCAGATTCCGGTGGCGTAATCTACCTATACTAGCAATCTCAGCAACAAACTCCGGCAATCCTTGCCTTGAGTCATGGGAAATCCTCTTAACCGCAACTTCGGTATTCGAATTCGGGAGAACACCTTTGTAAACCCTCCCAAACCCACCAAACCCAAGAAGCATCTTATCCTTAAAACCCCTTGTAGCTTTCCTAAGCTCTTGATATGGAAATCTATGAGGACCAACATCAAGCTCCCATGACTCAATCACATCTCTATTCTTATACAACCATACCATATAAGCAGCTAATCCAATCAAAACAAAAAATGCAACCACAGATCCTATTGAAACCCCTAAAATCAACCCAAAATTAGTCTTTTTTACCCTTGGTAACTTAGGAAGTGAAGACAGATCAAGAGGGGTAGCTTGACCATTCACCTTAAAACTCCATCCCAATATATAATGTGAACTTGCAAGCAAACCAGTAGACCCAGAAAACCCAACATACATAAATTCATCTAAGTAAGAAGAAAGGTCTACATCATAAGATAATAAACTTCTTTTGGGTTTTTCAGAGGAAAGAGAAAGACTAACATTTAATTGATGATTTCCAGAATCATAATCAATCCAACACAAGATTGTTTCACCACTCTTCATAGTAATATTCTGGGCAGTTGAATTCCCATCAACATAATAAGCTGCAGAAGCAGAAGCATTAGAAATCATACTATTAATATTAATACCAACATGATTATCATTGATATCCTTGAACTCAAAATCTTGAACTTCATCAAATTCAACTGCAAAAATATGATTTGTAAGGTTCCCATTATCAGATGAGTTTAGAAGTCCCAGATATTGACTGGGTAAAGCACCAGGAAGGTCTTTACTAGGAGCTAAAGTGAAGGCAAATCCATGCCCACCAAGTGTTTGAAATTGGGGCACTAATGCAAAAGCAAAGATTGTTGAAAATGATACAGCTTTTTTACCATCTTTTGAAGATTTAACCCTAATTGGAGGTGGGTAAAAAGCATGACCCAGAAGTCTAGATGTATCATTGGTTAACTGGAGGATGCCATTGTTAAGAATCTTGGCAGCTCCATTTAGAGTTATGTTGTTACCAGCATGGTTGAATCCATTGAAGTAAAGCTCCTGGGTTTTACAGAGATTTGGGGTGTAAATTAGGAAGAAGATGAAGAAAACCCAGAAAAAATTGAAGGGTAAGGCCATTAAAACAGAGGTTTTTGAGGGTGAAATCATGGTAATTTAAGCATAGTTTAAGTGGGTGTTTTGTTGGCCAATTGGTGATGTAGATTTTGGTGGTTGGATTTTGAGTGAAAGGGTGGTAGAGAACTAGAGATGAGGAGGAGAGAGAAAATAGAGAGAGTGAAAAATATATTTTGGAAAGAGTATAGAGAATTATTTAGAGGAAAACATATGCAGTGGTTTCATATGGCAAATATACTAAACTCCATTTGTCCATTTTTGAGAAGTAATAATAGAGTAGTTTGGGATAGGGAAGATGAACATTCCAATTTGAGTTGGCTCATTGCTTTTGTAAGGAAAGATCACAACTTTATTTAGGTTTGAATACACATTATTGAGGGTTGTCACTATCACTAATCAAAGATCTAACAAGTATTTACTCTATCTATTTCTAGACACGAATTTTTGATGTTTTGTGCTATTTGTAAGTGATTTCTATTATTCTCTTAGTCGTGTATTCAATGTCATTATTTGTTTACAACTCTTTTATGTATATCAAAATTTTGTAGATGGATACATGTCTTTTCTTTTTACTTGAAAAGTTTGCTTTTTCTTATTTTGGCCACAATGATTCATTTGTTTTTGTATATTAGTAGTAAGAGGAGGGTTCCACCTAACTTGGGGGGGAAAGTAATCATCGGATTCGTGGATGTGATGAAACAACAAGAAAGGGGTTTTACTGCTTCAAAATTTGAACCATTTGCTTATAAATTAAAAATCTTAATAAAATATACTGATTATAAAAGATGTAAGTCCAGAGTTAAAGAAGATTCCCCCTTGTATTATACGAAAACATTCTTTTCAAGGGTGAAATATTCACAAAAAATTGCCAAGTATTATCCGAAAAAAGAATACTTGTGTGTGTACCATAAAAAAGTTATAAAGTAAATAGAAATAAAATTAATTACGAAAAAAATTGGGTGAGTCGGACTCACGATGAGTCCCATATATCTGACAATAATAATCTAATATCTGACAATAAATCTGACAGTAATATTCTAATATCTGACAATAAATCTGACAGTAATATTCTAATATCTGACATTAATAATTTAATTTGACATTAATAATCTAATATCTAACATTAGATTATTAATATATTACGTCAGATATTAGAATATTACTAGGTTATCCCCGTGCGATGCACAGTTAGAATTATCTTTCTTGTAAGTTGTAATTTATAATTTGTTGCATTACGTTGTATATGAAGATTAGAATTAGATATAAAAATAATTTACATTTAAGTAAAGTAAAAAAAAAAAAAAAAAAAAAAAAAAAAAAAAAGGTATGTGAAAGTATAATTTAGTAGAAAAACTTGGTTAATTGAATTTTATATAGACACTTATACATTGAAGTCAAAAGTGTAGATTAAAAATTAAAAAAAAAATCATTAATAATTGATGACATCACACATAGAATTGGAGGGAAAATTTTTAATGTGAAAGTGACACGCAGGATAGTTTAAGAGTCGATGATGCCATCAATGTTTTGTTTTAGTATTTGTTAATAGATTTTTAGATATTAGAATATTATTGTCAAAAATATTTGACTCTCAGTGAGTCCGGTCTCACGCAAAAACTTCTCAATTAATTAACCCTATAATCATCTAGAATAACTTTACTAGACTTAAATTTATGACCAAACCAACCTCTTTGACATGTTTAACTCATTGCCAATCACGGCCATCACCCAAAAAAGAAAAATTATGTAAATTAGCACTCTGTTTCGATTAGATAAAGAATTGAAGAAAGATACAAGTATAATAATTAAAGTTATAACCCTATCCCTATCACTTGTAGAAGAAGTAAAAGAAAAAACGACAATAATTTAATCAAGATTACAACCAACCTGGCTATTAAGTATTGACAAATGAAAAAAATTGGTTTGATATATATGGTTGTTGGGTGATATCCATGATCTTTGCTATAATTTAACTACCCATATCACTATTTTATGCATGAGGTTATTAGTTAGGACCTTTTTTTTCACCAAGTGTCCCAACCAAGCAAAAATACAAGTAAGAAAAAAAATAAAAAAATCACATTCTAAATTTTTTAGCAATTTGTTTTTGGCTCTTCTTTGTTTGAAACTATGAATTGGTAACTCTAAATCTATACTCTTTCTTTTCATTAGCTCCAACTAACAACTTTCCACTTTTGGACTTCATCAAAACTTTTAAAACAGTACATTAAAGCATCCTTGGTAGTTTAATATAAAAACCAAATAATTGCCTTCGCCCCTTTTTGTTTGCTCCACCGGAGTAAAGTTAGCTTATTAACTTGTTTTTTTTAAAAAAAAAAAGGGTTAGCTTATTAACTTTTTTGTAAGTTAGCTTATTAACTTTTTTGTAGAAAGGAATTGTGAAAGATAATGGAGTGTAATTGCTTGCCATCCTCATTAGCTGAGTTACTGTTATATACAAAATACAATAGCAATCCTAGGCTATAATTAAGCTAACAAACTAGGAAAGGATATGCTCTAAATATACACTTAACAAACTTAGTGATATATACAAAATCAAAATATATTATGAATATATTCTAACAAATTGACGTGAAAGAAAAGTGGTAAGACATAATGAAGTGATTATGATAGTAAAAATTGACAGTACTGTAGTTTCTTATAAATAAAAATAGGATGAGACAAATATAAAGGCCGGGGCAAAAAAAAAAAAAAAAAAAAAAATGAAGCAAATACTCGAGACTGAGGAATATCTATTAAGTTTAATTGATGCCTCTAACACTCAGCAATCTTTTAAGAAGGCTATATCAGCAATAACACTCAGCAATCAGCATGCTGATAATGTCAGTAACCTTAAACAGATGCACAAAGTATAGTACAGACTAGAGTGGTTGGCCACTATAATGTTGAAAATTAGGTGTGCAAATAACGGTTTTAGGTAAGTATGCATTAAATATCACTTGATAATTCCACTTCGATCTGCAGCCCACAAATGTGTGTGCACGCATCTTCAATTTAGTGTAATTCTGTAATCAATTTTTTGTCGATTTAAATGTTTGATCAATTCTCCCTAATCATTCCTTATTAATTGTTTGAGCTTGTCATCAAAAGTATGTCTATTAAAATACATAAATAATCATAATCTACCATAAATGTTCAAGTAATATTTACTTCGTATATCACAATTGTACGACTCATACTTATTTTAAGTGTAAAACAGAGGAAAACCCTGTATAGAAAATTAACAGAATTGCAATGTTAATGAGATGTTGTAACCAAGAACTTTTTTTTATGTAGTAATGTATGTTTAGCAGGACTTGATTTTGAAGAGGAAAGAAATTAATCTTATACCAGGCCACCATCGAGTACCATTGTTTTACATTACTAAGCTGCGTTCGTGGAAATTAATAAGATTCGACTAGACTTTGGACTCAATTTGTCTTGCAGTGATTCATATATTGTCCTCTAAATCATGAAATAGTTGACATAAACTCTTTATTTGCACATATTATGGTTACATACGAAGTATGTTAATAACTATCTAATTAATCCTTACTGAGTTACTACTCAAGGATCACATAGACAAACACTTGAGCCGAGGGAACTCAATATTAAGTTTCAAAATACATCCTACTCTCTAAGTAATTAAAAATCACAAATTTTTATATGTGGCTAGTCATAACGTGTGGCCGGGGTTACTTATTCAGGGGTTACTCAGTAGAATTCAGGGGTTACTCGGTCGGTCAGGCCGGGGGTTACTTATTCAGGGGTTACTCGATCGGTCAGGAGTTACTCTCACACATAAAACGCGCTAACCGACTGAATAACCCCAAAATAAGTAACTCTTAACCGACTGAGTAACCCTTGAATAAGTAACCCCGGCGAAAACGCGCTAACCGACTGCCTAACCCCTGAATAAGTAATTCTGGACACACGATATGGCCAGCCACACAAAAAAAATTCACCAATAATGTAATTAAGGAATTTATCAAATTTGTAAAAAAATATCCTAATGGCCATTTTACATTAAAAATTTCAAGTGGTCACTAGAAAGATACCACGCACCTTTCATCTAATGACTAAAGGCCAAGTTGATTATTATTGTATAATTTCGCTGGAGAACATATGCTAAAACATATATCCTATTACAGAAACTGTTATACTCCGTATATTGTGTATTACGAGTAATTATTTTAAAATTAGGCTTAAGATTCAATTGACATGGTGGTCAAAATCAAATTAGTTTCATTTCCATGATGATTATGTTTGCATCAACATGCGTGCATTTGACAACTCATCATTCCAACTTCAAATGATGCCATCCCGTACTAAACTTAAAATACGGCACCTATAATCATCATTATTATACCGACCAACCATGCACTCTCATTTGTTTATCGAACTTTTCATTTTTATTAAGATTAAGAAAAACTAATTTTTAATAATGATCTAAAATCTAGGTCATCTACAGTATTCTATAAGAATAATAAAACTATGACCATTGTCATAAATTTGATCTACGAATATAATAATTGGACAATATATAATACAGATTATGGAGTATTTGTGTAATATATTATAGAAATTACACTACTTACATTTATACTACTTTTGTAATAACATTAGGTTTGTGGCTAGTATCATTAAAAGAGGTGTAAATGTGTAATGATATACAAAGTATGTCACATTTTCTAAATTGGTTCTCCACTTCTCCGTACTAATCTAAGAATTCACGATGATATCACACATTCACACATTGATTGGTATCATTAATGTTTTTTCATTTATAATTATCATCACTTTATTTTTGTTCCTTATAGCCTTAAGCCTTATAAGTAAGTAGTCCTTAATTCCTTATGCCTAGGGCTTATACATTACTTTCCTTAAAAGAATTATTAAAAAAAAAAGAAAAAAAAAAGAATATAAGTAGTCAAAAAAACAAGAGAAACAAATGTCAACATAAATTGGCGTTTGTCTAACAATCGGCATTTAGCCGCTAATATTTGACCATTCTGTAGTATTTTAAACAATGAGTTAAGTGTTTCTCGTTTTTGTTGATTTGAAGATGGTCATGAGCTTAGTAATGCATGAGTGAACTAATACTACTCGTATTTCATTGTCTCATTTTCAAACTAATTTAAACAATCCGATGATCCAAAGAACTTTGTTGAATGATATGGATGTTGTCATAGTCAATAAGTAAACTAGCGCCATTACAGGCTTACGGCAACACCTATCTTTCAAGTATCAAATGTCAAATTATCGATCCATGCATAAGCTGATCTGATAACATATAATGATGTAAGTACGACGAAAAGGGAATAACAACTCCTCACATAATTAAATAAGTGCGAATAGAACAAACTTAGACTACTCAGATTTTCAAGATTTTATCTCCCCCCATCTTAGCATCTAATTAAAGCTAGGGCGGTAACCGGTAACATTTGTTTTTTTAATTACTAATGTCATTTCTTATTTCTAGTCACTAGTCAAATTAGTAGTACAGAATAACATCAATTTCAAATTAAATCATATTATTCTACTTATTGAAGTCAAAAAAGTAGAGCAATGTCATACTAAATATGGGACAGAATATATTAGTAGGGTTACTTGCAGCTGTATATGATTAATAATATATGCTTCATCCTAAATTGATCTTAGATTAAGCATCATATAATAAGAATCTCCGTATTATCAAGCAAATTTAATCTTCAAATCAATAATTATATAGCTTTCCTAGATAGCTAGATTAGTTTGTACAATTTTTTGACCAACTACTCCAAAATTAAGGAGACATTATTAATGATTGTAGTTGACTATTGAAATTATGAGATTCATGTATTTCAGAGATGTTACAATTGATTATGGTCAATAATAGTTGCCTTGCTTCTTCAAACGTACTCCATTACGCTTTTTGATGATAGTGGTTTTTATTTTATGATGATTTGTTGGAATGTATGCTACATTGCTAATTGCTATCCACTCTATATCATTTCAACGATATTGACTTATAGTTAGATTTATGTGATTAAATAATATAGAGATACATATTTGACTTTTGTTATGATTAGATAAAGGCTCTAATATATTAATAAAGAAAAAAAAAATGTAGGCATTATGGAAATCCAAAAAAAGAAAATTTGTTAGCTTGAAACACCTTATATGTATGTATTAACTTAAAAGGATGAGTAGCGATGAAACTATTTATTATCACTTGAGTGTACTTAAAAATAATTGAAGTTGATTTGTTTATTATGCATTTGGAATTATACATTGTTCTAGTCTATTATTTTACCTTATATGATAAGGGAAGTTATACATTGGATTGGAGATTGGAGTGGAGATAGGGGACTACGGCGGGAGTGTTTGGGGGTAAGAGATTGTTTGGGTGAAGGAATATGTGAAGGTGAGGGCCGTCTCACCAACGATAAACCTCACCCAATAATTTGTGATATGGTAAATAGCTATACAACTATATTTATGTTTTTGCTCATATGATCAAATGAGTAGAATATAGTTTTGGATGTACATAAAGCCGGATACATTCGAACATATATTGAGTACTGGTAAGAAACATGCATTGAGATATGAGAGGCTCCTCCTAAATAAGGCCTAACATGTCCACTAAATTTCGTAAATGCAAATGTATAAGGCCCATATGTATTACATCATAATTTTTTGGGCCACTGAATTAAAAACTTTTGGTTCCATGAATAAAGGATGACTATTGCTCCATTGGTCACAATCACAAATTCACAATGGTAGCCAACCATGCAGTTATTGAACAATGATATTCTGTACTTTGCAATTCCTAATCACTTTGAATATTCTATAAACCTGATCCGATAATATAATTAATCAAATCTCCTACAGATATTATTTAGCAAAACGTACGGAGACTTCCATAACGGCTAGGGCTAGGACTAGGAATTATAATGCCGAAATTAGAACTTGGTTCACACTCAGAGAATTCATGTGATCATACTCATACATGTGTTCACCCGCGTAGTAATGTGTTGCTTCCACACAGGACCAATACATAACACATCGGCGATCATTAAGAATTTGCTTGATAATGATGATCATATGAACTTTGCCAAGATTAGGAAACATATATAGCCAAGATAGTCATGATGATGAGAAAAGGGTACAATCAAAATAAACCCAAATTATCAATTCCACAAAACAAGATGATGGTGAATTCTTACACAAAATTACAGGACAACAATTCACCAACAGACAAAAAGAGAAAAAAACATAGGGAAGTATACAGAGTGGAATAATAATAAAATCCCTCTAATTAAGAGATCCAAACTAAAAATTGTTCCCCTTTTCTCATATAATTGCAACAAATTAAATGAAAAATTAAGGCCTAGAAAGTGTAGATGCAGCTTCCATCGTCACTCCTTGCAGTTGGATCAAAGTTCTTCGCATTCGGGTCAGTACAACCTTCAGGAACCGGCAAATCTCCTTGCTGAGCTGCTTGGCCTGCACAAAACAGGACATTTTTCTTAGCAAAGTTTTATGCAACAAACAATCATTCTACATGTTTTCTCTCGAACTACAAAGGCTCGAACCTCCGAGTTAGGGACACTTAACCGAAGAAAGCTCCGGATGCAATAGCATCTTTGTTAGCATCTCCAAGAGCAGCCTCGCTCAAGTACTTGTCAGCAAGTTGGACTCTCTTGACATTCTCTTGCTCTTGCACAAGCATGTTTCCGTATTCAAGCAACTTTTCCAAGGTCATTTTTGGTTGTTCGAACACTGGTGGTCCGTCCCTTGAGTTTACGAGCTTCTTTCCTACGGCGTCAATTCCTACTTCAGAAACCCACTTCCTTACTTCATCATCGTATACACGAGCCCTCAAGGCACCGAAGAAATCTACAAACCAATCAATCAATAACATTAGTATAAAATAAATAAAAACATGTAGATTATCGATCGTGTTAGTTATTAGTACAATGCAAGAATGTATAATAATGTGACGTACCAATAGATTGGCCAGGGAAGGTGTCGACGAGCTTGACAACGTGGTCCTCAGGAACATTGTCGGTCCTGAAGATACCGGTGGCAACACCGATACGGTCCTCACGGGTGGGAGCCCAGTAGAACTTCTCCATACGACCATCACGGATAAGGGGAGCGTACAAGGTGGAGAAGTCGTTACCAGTGACGATAATGGGAACACGGGCGTTCTCTTGCTTGTTGTACATACCAGGGAGTTGGACATTGGTGGGGTTGTCAGCAATGTTCATGAGGGTGGCGTTAACCATCTGGTTGTTCACGGTGTATTGTGTGGTGCCTCCCATACGTCCAGCACCCGCGTCGAGATCGTTGATGAACAGAGCACACATCTTTCCCTTGGCAATTATGTCTGCTGCCTCACGGTACCTTTGCCTGATCAACTTTGCTGGCTCTCCTGCGTTTCCACTTTCCAATTCTCCCGCACTCATCATGATGGGGCTATTACCATAAATGCATTGGTTAAATTATATATATTATTGTCACTAATTTTAATTTAATCGATAGATTAGGAAGAGTTTTACTCACTTGATTCCCATCTTGGCGAACACAAGCTCACATTGGAAGGATTTACCTTGACCTTTGCCTCCCCAAATACCCAAGATCAGGGGAACCTATTTTCATTCATCAAGTTTACACAAATTAGCTTAAACTCCCAACTTGTTGGAGCAATATTTTTATTTTCAAACTGTCATTGGACTAAATTTGTCGAATTATGTCTTACTGTACACTCGTCTCACACAAGAATTATTTCAACTTTGATAGTAGTAGTTAGCTACTCAATATATAGTAAAATTTATAATAATCTAATATGGTGTGACTTATAAGGATTACAATCTGCTAAGTTGTTTTAATTTCAACTTTATCTTGCCTAAAACTAAAATCAATTGAAACAAATTTGTTTATAGAAGCTAATCAATATATTGAGCACCAATTTAACCTAATATGGAGTATTACAAGTGTAATAAACTTGTTTATCAGTTAGTTTTGTACATACTCCGTTATTAAATAGTGTAGATACCGTTTGTAATAGTAAAAAAAACAAATTGGTAACCCCATGAAATAAAAGTACCTTGATGTTAGGCAAGTTCAAGTAGTTCTTGGTGATGTGAACAACAATCTTGTCCATGAAAGAAGGGGCAATGTAGAAGTTACCCAACATGTTGTCGATGTTGTACCTGAATTCATAAAATTTATTACTAGCTAGAACCATATAAAATATACTTTGTATAAAACAAAGTGATTATTAATACTTACTTCCTAAGACCTTGACTCTCGTATTCGAGTGAACTCTGAACTGGAACGTGGGTGCCGGAGTCCATCGGAGCTTGGAAGAGGGAGTCAACCATACCCTTACCCCTACGGATGTCGAGTTGATCATCAGAGATGTCTGTAGCCAAATGAGCCCATCTGTCCGTGTTGGACTGCTTGCTCTCCTCGTAGTCAGCCGCCTTGACGGTCATTGAGCTCGCCCTAGAGCTGCTTGGGAATCTCACACTTGTATGCTTCTTTAAGCTGCTCCCTAAGAAAGCTGAGGTTGGGACTGATGCCCCAGCGCTCGAGCCATTCAAGTTCAACTGCATACATATCACACACATCCATCATTATTACTCCTAAGTCCTAACCACTTGTTACATCGATCTACTCGTACACATTTACTTATGAACTTGTCCACACAAATCAACTTATTATGATGAGTACCCAAACACGTTCGCTTGTAAACTTGTTCACTCAAATCAACTTATTACAAGAACCCAAACATATATTCACTTATAAACCTTGTTCACAATCAGCTTATTACAAGTATCCAGACACACATTCACTTAGCTAACAAAGTTGTTAACTCGAATCAACTTTTTACGCGTATATCCAAACACATATTCCCTTTCTCAAAAAAATACATATTCACTTAAAATCTTATTTATTACTCGATTCAACTTGCAACAAGTTCTCATACACATGTTCACTTATAAACTTGTTTACTCCATTTGACTTGTTACAAGAATCCAAGCCAAACACATATAATTATGTTATAAATTATTTACATGTATGTCTATATTCACTTAAGATCTTATTTATTACTCGACTCAACTTGCAACAAGTTCTCACACACATGTTCATTTATAAACTTGTTTACTCCATTTGACTTGTTACAAGAATCCAAGCCAAACACATATAATTATGTTATAAATTATTTACATGTATGTCTATATTCACTTAAGATCTTATTTATTACTCGACTCAACTTGCAACAAGTTCTCACACACATGTTCATTTATAAACTTGTTTACTCCATTTGACTTGTTACAAGAATCCAAGCCAAACACATATAATTATGTTATAAATTATTTACATGTATGTCTATATTCACTTAAGATCTTATTTATTACTCGACTCAACTTGCAACAAGTTCTCACACACATGTTCATTTATAAACTTGTTTACTCCTTTTGACTTGTTACAAGAATCCATGCCAAACACATATAATTATGTTATAAATTATTTACATGTATGCCTATATGGTACAACTTTTTTTTACAGAATTGAAGTAACAAACCAACAGAGATGATCATTTATTCCCATATTTCTATAAACTACAACCTAATTACACATGTTACTCAAATTTTCTACACTAGTTGCAAAAGTGAACATCATACAAAAATGGAATTTGATCAATTGTTAAGAGATTAAACAAGTAAGATGACTTACAGGTGCCTTGGTGGCAGCTCCGACGGTTGAGACAGCAGTAGCCATTTCAATCCAACGGCTGAGATCCTAAAGAGAGCTTCAAAAATTATTTTTTAGAAATTTTAATATTTTGGGTGCTCTTGAGAATTCCTGAGGATTAGCTAGTGTGTGGAAGGTAGAACTTATAGTAGGGAGTCCAGAAGTTTGCACCATAAATTTTTGTGTGTTGAAGATTGGCTTTCTAATCTATAACTGCCACAAAAACAAGATTACTCTATTGCCACGTGGCGTCACGTGATTTGCTCATCACTACACTACTAGACTTTGGTCCCTTTGAGGCTGGAATTTTAGCTTTCTTCTTCACCACTTATATTTTTACTAGTAGTTTCTCTTTTATTTGGATTGGCTAGTGTTTTTTTTTTCTTGTTTTGTTTATCACAAGTTTTTGTAACATTTTAACAGTATGCAACTTTACATCATTTTCTTCTTTTTTTTTTTTTTTTAATTATAATTTTTGTATGTTGGTTTATGAAAAAGATTATTATTAAATGAAATTAAATTAATTTCTATCCTTAAAGTTTTCTTTCTTTGTCTCTCGTTCTCTCCTCCTTGATCCTTATCCCATATTATACATAATGTAAGTGAGTTTTTTGTCACATTGTGTATGCCTTTTGTCATTCAATTTGAAATGTCCTCTCAAGTTATTTTCATGCTCCAATTGCCTATCCTAGATGGTTGATGAACTCTCTACAATAATTTCTCGTACTCTTACCTTTATTTACACTTATTTTAATTTAGATATAGTAATTTAAGATTAATTATGATAAATTGAGTTTCATTTTCAAACTATTCGGACAAGATAAGTTTTTTATTTTAGACAATTTTATGTACATTCAACCCTTGATGAACAAGTAATTAAAGCAGATCAAACCAACATTATGGATTGATTTCTCTCACTCTTTTTTTCAATTATTTTAATGAAGAGGAGCATAAATGATTCCAATGTTTCATGAATAATGTCAATTTCAAGTGGTGAATGTCGTGTTAGTCCTAAATGGTTACATATATAGTTATGTAAAACGCAACGCATTACAAGCTCCATATGATTCTTCTTTTTCCGCTTTTTTTCATAAACCAAATAGGAAAAAATAAAAAGGATCGAACTATCGAAGAATAATTAAGTAATATAAAATTTTATTACTGCGTATTGTACTCCTTATGGATCAATGGATCACTATCATGTTAAATGCAACATATGTCATATTTAATAAAACTTTAGGCCCGGTTCTGTTCACCTTATTTTCACTTATTTTAGAAAAAATAAGTTCAAATAAGGGTTAATAAGTTCTGATAAGATAAGTTTAGGAAAATTAAGTTTAGATAAGTTGTAATAAGGGTTAATCAAGGCTACCCAAGTGCAATTTATAACTAAAATAAGTTCTAATGAGGGCTAATAAGTTTAGATAAGTTTAGATAAAATCAAATAAGTTCAGATAAGTAAAAATCAGGTGAACAGAACGCATCCTTAATGACAAAAGCTAATAAAATTCATATCAAACAATATAGAATATACTATAACTACTATAGTACTATTACCACTTTCATGTAAAAGGCTCACTACTTCATTAGCTAGTTCATAAGATTTTGTTTTCCCCTTAATTAAACTTCTTATCTTTCTATCTTACAAATTAAATTCTTCTCCTTTTTTTTTTTTTTTTTTTTGGTGTGGCAAGTTATCTCCTTTTTTTTTAATTTCTTTGTCCCTCTTTTTCAATCTCTTGAACCTTATCCCGTGTTCAACACAATGCAAGCTAACTAGCTAAGTGAGGTTTGTCACATTGTGTAAGCGTTTTGTCATTGACTCTTTTATGTCCTCTCGAGTTCTTTTCAACTTATCATTATCGTCTATCCCACTTGATTAATGAACTGTTTGAGAGAGAAATAGACTAAATTATTAAGAGTACATTTGTAATTTAAGTAATTTTATATTTTGTCACAAATTAATTGTTTCATTTTCATTATAAGTATTTTTTTTCCATTGTATTCATAACAAAAGGTTTTCTTTATAATAATGGGTCCTCTTATCAAAAAAAAATAATGAGTCCTATATTTAACCTTTTAATTTTAGAATTAAATTCTAAACAATGATTTTATACTCCATAAATATTTAAAAATATTAAGCTAAAATAAATAAAATAAGTCTTAGGTACACAAGCACGACAACTTAGACCTTGTTCGGGCAACAGTTTCAAAATTTTTAGTAAGACATGACATGTAGCAAGTAGCGAGTGAAGTAACTCATCCATAGACCGAGCCTATCCAGACCCTAGACATGTGTCCCGGCACGGCTATAGCCATCTTTAGTCCTAGACCGCTAGCTACAGTAGCTAGTGTCATGATACTCACATAACTTCATGAACCAGGTCGGGGTTTCGTTATGCTTATGCTCAATAGAGAAGAGTCAGGCAAGTAGCCCGGCCCACAAATGATTTATATATGTACTAGTACTTGCTAAGCAAGATGCAACATTGGATCATAAGTTCATAACACATTGCAAATTAGCTGGGCTAACACCTAAAGTCTTAATTAATTTAATTTGTCTAAGTGTACATTCTAAGCATAAGGGTCGGCTATCAAACATTTTACTTGACCACTTTAAGGCCCATGTACTTTGACTTTCCGATGCTCTTAACTAGGTGTCAATTCAAGTACAGGGGTCGAGTTCGGTGAGGTCGGGTTGGGTCAGGTTTATTTCAAAGCTGAGTCATACTAAATTATTGTGTCCATATGAGTTGAAATCTGAATCAGGTTTGTTTCAAGTTAGATCAAGTCGAATCAGTTGGACTAATTTTTGACAACTCTACCTCCAATTATTTGAGGCTGTATAATCATATGAGTATTCCACTAGATCGCACAAGCTATTACGACTATTTTTTTTATAGGAAGCTAATACGAGTATTAAGGTCTTGTTCCATTATGAATTTTTCCACTTTATTTTTCATTTATTTTGGCCAGATACATAGGTTTAAATAAAATAAGTATTAGAGATAAAAATAAGTGTTATATAGGTTTTATTTACAACTAAAATAAGTTTTAATAATTTCTTATTTGCTTAAATAATTAAAAATTGGGTGAATAAAATAATACATAGTAATAATCTAGTTAGTAAACAAACAAAGAAAATACACCCTTAAAAATCATTACGATATAATTTCCATATCTATGTCTAAAATGCACATTTGTATAAAATTTCAATATTACTCTCGTTATTTAAAGTATATTAAGGTTTTACTTTCATAAAAAAAGTATAATAAGGTTTTCACTTTTTATGCAATAATTAAGCTTTTCATCGTTAGTCCATTATATGCTAAAAAAATTGTGGATAGGAAGTATTATATTTGGAAATAGCCATTGAAAATCATACACGTCAGCTAATAAACAAGGTGAGATGAAAATGATACCGAACAATTGCACTAGCATTACTTCCAGCAATTGAGGTTTATGTTTAACTAACAGTTTTACATCGCTTTTTGGAATGAATGAACTGACAACTACACTTAAATTTATATTGTCTTAATGACGAGATTATCTTGGATTTACGTTTTCTTTTACGACCCTTTTTATACAAAGAACTTCCAAAAGCTATTTAGTGAACTCTTCATCCGTGAATTAGAGCGGTAAATTCGGGTAAACGGGTAGGAAGTAGAGCTGTCAATTCGAGTAAACGGGTCGGGTTAGTGTAGGTCATATCAACTTGGATCGGATCAATTCAAGTTAATGTCGTAACCTATGCGGGTCGGGTTGGGTCATGCTTGAGTCGGGTCATACATCTTATCGGGTTTGGGTCGGGTCACATTCGGGTCGGGTGTATAATAGGTCGGGTTTAACTCGGATTTTAACGGGTTAAAACGAGTTAGGGTTATTCTTGGGTTCGATTTAAGTCAATAATTTGCGTGTTATAATCAGGTTAGGTCATTTCTAAGCCGGGACGAGTTCGAGTTCGAGTCTCAAATATTGGGTTAATTTGGGTCTTAGGTTGATTTCAGATCGGGTCATATTGGGTTCGGGTACATTTTTCGGATCGATTTGTTAACAGTTCATGTACTGCCAATTTAATACTTCATTCTTTATTATTATATTTATGATTCAGATTACAATCCTTCTCAATTAACTAGCTTCATTAAGGGAAATATTTTAAAGCATTAATGTGTTAAACTAGATTACTAGCTATATTAGATAAGAGTATAAGAGTTAAGATATGTGTGTGGTGTGGGAAAGTTGATTTAAGCAATGTTAAAGGTAGTGTAACACTCCAATAATTCTCCCTTTTTAAACCACTTACTGTAAATAAAATAGAGGAAAACCATTGTCATGTTACCGCCACGTGTTAAAACGTTAAGGCTTTATCAAAGTATCGCAGCGGAAAAACCAAACTTAAGTCTTTAAAAATAACATAGTTTAGAAAACCAATAAGTCAAAGCTTACAAACTGGAACCATAAAGACCCTTATTTTAAACCAAACCAATATTCGAAACCCAAATCATAAATGAAATAACAAAATATAAATAAGTTCAACACAAAAGAACGAGTACTCTCAATCACACTAATCCCGACAATGCGTATGCCAAATCCCTGAACTTTACATCATCAAGCTAACTTGTGCAATACTGCTCCCCAATAATACAAGTGTAATAATTGGATTATCACAGGGTCATTGACCAAAAGAAAACACACAAAAGCACGCAATCAGCAAAGTTGAGTACATATAAGTTACAACCCAACAAACCTAATATGCTCAACTAATTAAAGTAAATAACATTCAACATGAATTCATTAACCAAGACTCCACACTAAAATAGTTCAATCAACTCAACATACTCACTAACCAATTACAAACTCTTGACTCTTTATCTTTAATTTAATTAATTTAATTTGGAGTCAGCAATAGACGAGGTTGTCCAACCCACCAAATCATTTTGGTCCCAAATGACCAATTAAAATAAAAAAAATATAGCATGATGTAAGAATGGGCGCGACTCTATTCTCCCAAAGTTAGTCTAGGATCTCATCTAACTTTCATTATAAAATATAAAAGTAAATACCAAAAGAAAAGAGGACATGTTGATCAAACAAACCTCGGAAAACCACAGGCTACCACCGTGTACCCCAACCCATAATTG